ATGAGTTCCCTGTAAATGTTGGAGATTAAACCCTTATCGGTGATATCATTGGCAAATATGTTCTCCCATGCAGTGGGCTTTCTTGTTGTTTTGTTGATGGTTTCCTTTGCTGTGCAAAAGCTTTTTATTTTGATGTAGTCCCATTTGTTTATTTTCTCTTTAGTTTCCAATGCCCTAGGAGCAGTATCAGAGAAGAAATTCCTTCGGTATATGTTTGCAATTTTGCTGCCTGTGGATTCCTCTAGTATTTTGTAAACATTCTTAAAGATCAATCTTTTTGGACAACTTAGGGAAATTTCCTAGAATTGAATCAGTAGGTCAAATGACCTATGTTTAAGGTTCCTAATACATATTGATAAATTAGCCTCTAAAAAGTTACCAGTGTCTATTTCAAATCCTAGATCCTCTTCAGTTTCTCATGTTAAAATGCATGCTCCTAGGCTCCAGTGGTCCCAGACGCTCCGAGAAGAGGGCCTAGGAACACACATTTTAATATAGCCTCCCAATCCTTATACACATTTGAGCTTGAGAACTATTGGTATGTTGTGTGCAAGTCAACATTCATTTCAGCAATTACTTATTAGAGAAAAAGTTAGAGAACCCTGAGCTAGTATATCTAAACCAGAATTTAACTTTAAGATTCTTTTTTGGCTTCTGAACTTTAGATTTTCCCTTATTCATGGTATAGTAGAGTTAAAAGAGTCTCAGCTAGGAAGTCAGAAAACCTTATTATAAACTAGAGGCCCGGTGCACAAAATTTGTGCACGAGTAGGGTCCCTAGGCCTGGCTGGTGATCAGGGCCGGCCAGGGCCTTCCTTCATTCCATGCCACCTCCTAGTGGACAGCACACATCATAGCGAGGGATCGAATTCCCGGTCGGTCGAACTCTTAAAGGGACAATTTGCACATTAGCCTTTTATTATATAGGATATGAGATAACTGAGACCCAGAATAGTTCACTTACCTCCTTGTGGATATCCAGAGATATAGTGGGAGAGGTAGAACTGGAACTTGATTAGACGAAGGTTCTCGGATCCACCCAGACTCAGAGGAGCAGAGAGAAGGCACTGGCAAGAAGACTAACTCCTGAAGTGAGCTCCTGCCTCACTAGAGGACTTCTCATCTGCCTTCCGATGGGCCATATCTCAGGACATGTGTGGGCAGCCCTCTGGGGTCATCCACGTTAGTCCCTTAAAGAGGTCAGCCCACAGTGTGCCCTAACCAGAGGTGGTGACACTACAGTTAGATCGAGGAAGACATAGTCAGCCATGCACATCCATGCCAGGAGAGCAGAGTAAGAGGTGGGGTCCAGAGTCAGAAGCCAAGAGAGCAAGGACACGGCAAGAGCAAGACCCACATTGTGGGCAAATTTTAGGTCAAGGCAGGCATGAGTTGAAAAGAAGACAAATTTAGAGCTAGACGGGAGCTGCCATGGATTCAGCCTCACCGATGGGAGCCCCGGTTACATAACTTCATGATCAGGGGAGGCACCTGCCCCCAAGTTGCGCCTGCCTCTTTAAATCTGAAAGGTGCTGTGCGCTAGGCTGCCTTCAGCTCATCTGGCCGAAGGAGGGGCAATGGGTCAGAGAAGAGGCACCTGAAAATGAAAATTTGGAACATTCTGTTACAGCAGAGAACATGGTAAACAAACAACAACCAAACTGAAAAATTCTCAACATCATCTAAAAGGAAGTATGACTGTCTGTCCTGTCTGCATAACTCTGCTCAAACCCATCAGAGCATACCCACTGGTCACCTGACAATATCTGGCTGCCCTTCTTCTTACTCTACTACCTCAGCTTCTGGGGGCCAAATGATCATATCATTTGACTTTCAAGTTCAACCTCCAGACTGTTCAGCTGCCGACAGTCCCATTTATGTTCAGGTTCTCTAAATCACCATCCCCAAGTCCACATCCATCTCCTGTGACGGCACCAAGTGAAGCACAGGAGCTAGAACCCAAAGGTAGCTGCTGCACCCATTGTTCCAGAGTAACTGCTGCACCCATTGTGCCACAGCCTTGGACACCAGAGGATTTGCCTATGATCGCCACACTATTTTTGCAACTTTTTGTGAATCTTAAAGTATTTCCAAAAAAGTTTTTAAAAGCAAATTTTTAAAAAGCTGCTTTTTTTTAAGTTAAAAAAAAAATAGGGTGTTCCCTGCCCCAGGAAACAGGGATCGGCCACTGGTTTCTCTTTCACAAGCAACTCCTATTGTTTATTTTGCCGCTTTCTGATTTATGGGTAGGCTTCTGTGGCAGCGCTCCGATGGCTTTGGTTTCACCCTCTGCTTCTCAGAGACGCCCATCTCAGTGAGAATCAAAGCTCAAGTATTCCAGCCCTGAGTGTGACTATGCCCCCTTCCCCTCCCTGAGACTGTAACTTCAAAGTGAGGTAAAGACTCAGATCTAAGAAATGGCCTCACGGTGAAAATCTAGGACAAATCATCCTTCTCGCCCTGCACAATCATGTCTTTTCCGGAATGGCGCTTTGTCTTCTCTGCTCTTCGTACAGATTATTCTCTTCACCTTCATCACAGGGCCCCTCCTCTAATGGAAGCAGATTAACCCTTCTTTGCCCCCTCTCCATCTCATTCAGCGGAGGGCTTTCTGTTAACTGCACGGCTCTCTCCCGGGGCCGTGTGCCCAGCTGAATGCTAGTAAGAGATGGCTGCCTTCCCTTTGAAGCACTTAGCCTCTGTCAAACACCTTTTTGCCAGACTTGGCCCTGGAAAGAGAGTTTTGAAATTAAACGTATTGTGAGCCGCCTGGGTGTGCAGTATGGAATTGCACAAGGCCATGGGCATTTAGGGCAAGGGGTACTTGCCGTGCTCACGACATTAGGGCCCCATCTTAATGAAATTCTGGCTTTATTAACTCCCTGGCTCTGCAAAGGGCTCCATAGTGTCACCTAATAGTGAGGCTGAGCAAATAGGGCTGATGTCTATGTGGCATCCTGTCCGGATATTAAGACACACACAAGCCACTGTCCCCCAAGACTGGCCTCAGCTACCAATTTCCTGCCATGCCTTATTTATTAGGGGGACTCATCTCAAGAGACCATGCTGAGATGGACGGCAGTGTACATTTCTTGGGCTGGCTGTGAGTTGCAGATCAGGACGGTGTGCTAGAAAGGTAACAGTTTGAATTGTTGAACTTCAGTAGGTCTTGGTGCATCTCCTAGTTATGTACCTTTTGGTTTCAAAACCATACTGAACGACGGAAAATGAAACCTGCAACTTATTTTTAGCTGCTCATGATAACTCATGAGATTTTTCTTTGCAAACCAAATAGGATAAAGGCTACTTCCGCTGGCTAAACTTAATCTGATTGACTTAATATAGCAATCAAGCCTACGTCTCTGATATTCTCAAGGGACTCTTGGTCCCAGGTGATACTTTGGCCAATATTTACTATTTTGCTTAAAATTATATTTAGTTGAGCTCTTTTATGAAACAAAATTAAACAAGTATAACATTTTTCTTCTGAGATGAATTGGGAAATAAGTTATAAGCCCTCTATATTGGCATCTATTCATTAATTCACTTATTCTATTGCCATTTATTAAGTACCTATTTGAGTGAAAGTTTGGAATAAAAATCTTTAAAAGTTGAGCCAGTATGTTGAATTACAAAGAGCAGAATGCCAGAAATTAAGTAATATGGCTTTTATCCTCAGCTTTTGCTGAGAACTTTTGTAACAACAGGCTCTTTGAACCCGACTTTGTCCTCCCTCAGAGAGAGAGTTTCAATGACATGCTCTATAAAATGCTGTGAAACACGATGTGCCACCGAGGGCCTGAGGGAAGGTCGAGGCATCTTGTGAAGGCAGTGGTATTGCTGATGTCTCTGTGGGGTCACTCTGACTTCTGTCTCCCTTTCCCTGTTCTAGAGGGGACAGATTTCAACAAAGCCTGTGGTCAGCTTTCCAGACAACTTGTGGCTCCCCTGAGTGAACAGTGATTAAGTGTTTGAAAGACTTCCATTGGTACTGTCAGTCCCCAGGTCTATGCCTGAACTCACCGAGTGAGTTCTCTAATTCTAGGAAGTAGCTTCATGGTATAGAGCTGAAGATTCCACTGGTAGCGGTGGAAGCAGAGGAACCCCCCCCCCCCCCCCCCCCGCGTTTGGTGTTGGTCGGTGAAGAGCACTCCCACATGAGCCCCTTTGTTGTACCCGTCAATGCTCTGTGTACCATGGGAGATACATAGATCTTGCCGGAGGCAACCCCGAGATATGAGTAAAGGTAGATAATTCAATACAACATAAGCTTCGTGTGCTTTTATCTTCAGCCCAAAGGAAGTGAAAATTCACTGAAGCTTGTTAAGCTGCTCTGTGGAGAAGAGGTGCATGGTTGTGGCCCTTCTGAACTACAAAGTCATTTATCTGGGGAAAAAAAAAGCAAATGAGTTTGTTCCCAGGGGGAGTCTTGGAATATTTGTTGCCCAGGATGAAGAAAGATACAAAGAGAGGATTATGCACTCACATGGGGTGGATCTTACTAACCTGTAAGAATTCTTCCTTCTCCACCTTCATTTACAGCCCACCCTCCCTTTTCAACTTAGTAGCCAATCTCTCTAGAACAGAGGTTCTCAACCTGTGGGTCGCGACCCCTTTGGGGGTCGAACGACCCTTTCACAGGGGTCGCCTAAGACCATCGGAAAACACATATATAATTACATATTGTTTCTGTGATTAATCACTATGCTTTAATTATGTTCAATTTTTAACAATGAAAATACATCCTGCATATCAGATATTTACATTATGATTCATAAAAGTAGCAAAATTACAGTCATGAAGTAGCAATGAAAATAATTTTATGGTTGGGGGTCACCACAACATGAGGAACTGTATTAAAGGGTCACAGCATTAGGAAGGTTGAGAACCACTGCTCTAGAAAGAAGAAACTCAATCTTCTTGCTGAATATATATGTATGTATGCATTTATTTATTTATTTTTGCCAATTCAGGATCTAAAAGACCCTGTTGTTCTACTTGCTCTCCATTTGGGGAGTGGCAAACAGTCATGGCTGCAAATGAGCATGTGATTAGGGATGCAGGAAAGCTCTGGGTCTCTGAGAGCCTGCAAGGCCTTTATTAGCGCCACATTTCAAGTGCACTGAGAAATGAAAGCAGGAACTATTCTGTTGCTAAAGCTGAGGTAGTGATATTGAAAATGGTGGTGAGACATTGAGAATATTCCCACAGGAGAGTCTGAGCTAAATTTAGGGTGGGGTGGGATGGTATCCACCACAGTCGCCCTTGCAGCCCTAAGTCATGTACCACTTTTTCTCTGTTGCAAACCACATGGTCCACATTCCCCTCTCCCTCCAGTTCTTTCCTGGAGAGTAACTTTAGTTTGGTCCCCAAGGCTTGCTGCCAGATCCTTGCCATCAAATGTGTGCTCTCTTCCCACGTCTTACACACGGATGCTCATGGATGGGAGTGAGAAAGCTCCTGTCTGAGACCTGGAGGGGGCTTCCTGGAATTCAGACTTGTCAGGCATGCCTATTCACCCAACCCTTCCTTCTGCCTCACGAGCAGAGAAGATAATCCTCCTCTCGTATTCCCAGGCAGGGTGGAGCTGATAGAGTTGATTAGAAAGCCCCCTTTGAGAGCCATCTGGTTGGCATATAAAATTACTGCCAATGAGGGAGATAGTCAGCTGGCCATATAACCAGGCGGCAGGGGACTTGGAGTCCTGCGCTTGGCCTAACTGACCCAGAAAGCAAGCGGAGCTGGAATTTTTAGAATCGCACACTTTCAGAGGTGGAAGGGATCTTACAAACAGGGGCAAAATGGACAGATATCAGCAGAGAGTCGATCATTAAAATGATGCAGTTGAGACACTGACCGTGATGGAGAAAAATCTCTTATTCAAAATTTAGGCTTTTTAAAAGCCCATTTTCAAAATATGTTGGGGAAGGAACTCATAATACCAACTTGGGTTATCTGTTCAGGCCCAAAGCACTATGTGTGAAAACCAGGTCAGTCCTGATTGTTACACTGATTTTTCTTTAATTGATCATATGCTTTTTAATACAGCAAATGGGTCAACTCACTTATTATGTGTGTGATCTTATGCAAATGACCAGATCTCTCTCAGCCTCACTTTCCCCATCTGTAACATGAAAAGATTGGGCTTCACCAGGGGAGGTAGTTTGCTCAGATGGAAATGTAAGCTGTTCCACTTATTTTGCCTCATGAAACATTTCCAAATTATAACAAACCTCTGAAAAAAAATTGTTACTGCTTATTTGTTACTGCTTTCTAATCTTAACTTTCCAACACAGGCTAGTTCATTCCTCCTCTTTTATTCTGTCTTCTCCACCTCCTGGTCCAGTATAACAGGTACCCCAAATTCTCAGGAACTGGGGAGTTGAGGCTGGTTCTTATAAACCTGGGTGGTTGTGGTTTCAGGGAGGGCGTTCCCCTCGACTAGTCATCTACACAGTAAAAAGATTCCTACTTCAGGGAAGAATGTAGAAGGAGGAGGTTTTATCCTGTCAGAATTGGTGGAAAGACCACAAATGAGCATGTGACTTTGGAATTAGTCAGACGTGGGTTTAAGTCTTCACTGTGCTATTTACTGTGTGACTAGCAATCTCAATTTGTTCCTCACCTAAAGTTGATGATAACTAATAACTAAGTTCCACCTTGCAGGATTATTGGTTTAGAATTAAATAATAGAGCTAAAATATTGAGAATATAGTAGGTTCTCAATAAATGGTCGTTCTAATAGACAGCTGTGATCAAGGTAGAAAATAGAAGTTCCTGCCCAGATCTTTAGGCAAAATGTACATGATTGAAGTAGCACTGGACTTTCCAAAATATTTAGGCTAAAATATCATCCAAAAGCACATTTTCAGCCATTGAGAGATTGTAACCTTGTTGCTTCCAAGGCTAAATACACTACAGATAGATAAAATAACCAAGCTCATCAAAAATTTTTTAAACTTTTAAATTCTAAGAATTTAAACAAAATTGTTATATTTGGTAAATATTTTATTTTTAAACATTTAGCTCAAAACAGCCTAACCGGGTAACAAACCCACAAATGTTGAATATCTATATTAGGTAAAAACGGAAACCAGCTGTAATTTTTAATGCAGTGAGTGGAATAAAGAAATGTGCAAACCGATCCAAATGTTTATCAACTAAGGATTCCTCTGGGACTCCGTGCCCTGACTACATTTTTTTTAAAACATGGAGACTCAAGCTTGGCTCGTACTTGAATTATGTTCTTTGCGTAAGCCATGCAATTTAATTTTAACCTACAGGACTGAAAATAAAATGAGCTCAGACGGCAGAACAATGAGACTGGGAGCAAGTGAGAGCCTTAATCTAAGTGAAAGACGCTTCCTCGCTGCTGCTCTGCCTTCTCCCGCCTGCTCCTGCCAGATTATTTGGGGTTCCCGGTGCAAAAACAGGTCAACATTTACAACGTGGGAAAGGGATTTGTCTTTTACATTAAAGTCTGTGCGTAAGCCCCGAGGATGTTGGTGAGGAGCATGAATTTTTAAAAATCATTATGCTACGTGAAATAAGTCAGTCAGAAAAAGCTAAAAAGCTTTTATATGTGGGATATAAAACTGAAACTTATGAACACAAACAGCAGTGTGATGGTTGCCAGAGGGAAAGGGGTGGGGTGGGAGGGTGAATGGGGTCCTCATATAAGGTGACAGGAGAAGATTTGACTGATTATAAGATCAGTATACAGATCTTATAATATAGAAACCCGCACCTGAAACCTATATGTTCATGTTGACCAGTGTCACCCCACTCAATTTAATAAATAAAAGAAAGACAAAAATCATAAGTGAATGCTTACCCTTGCCACTTGTAATCATGACAAAGCTTGCGTAATTCAGGCATGCACATGATTTTTTTAAAGTACAAAACAGGATTTACTAGTCAGAGAATGTCTGCCTAAACAAGCTCATCCATCTGAGTGCTTTCAGCTACAGTTCAAATTCGTTTAACACAATCAGGTTTGGTAAACAGACCACGTTAGCTCGTGGAGTGTTTTTGGAACATCACAAAATAACCAACACGTAGCTTTTAGGCTCGTTTTGGCAGAGCGTGGACACAGAACCCCACAAGGAGGTTTGGAGACCACTTGCCCAGGCATCGGCTTACCAGTACCAGTAGGGGACCTGACCACATTCACCACCCTGCTCCTGTAAAGGCACATAACACTGTTCACTCATCTCCTGGGAGCCTGATATGGATTACTGTCCTTGTCGCTGTCATTTATTTTCCCAGGAAGGAGGCGGCATCGACTGAGTTCCAAGGGGTTAGAGTTGATTCTATAGCGTGACTAGTTAGCCTACATGATAATCATGTGTGAGTGTTTTAATGTGAATGTTTAGCTTTCAGATGTTATTCATGGGGAATATCTGAACAGACACTAATAGAACCAAATGCCTAGGTGTTCGCTTCAGCCTCCTCCGCCCCCACTCTCAGGACTCTGCTTTACAGATGACCTTCTATTAAACTGGTACCTTGTAACTCAGAGTGATAGTCTCTAATTCCCGACCCCCGTGGTGCAGCAGGAATTAGCCTAAGGACACTCCATTCTAATTTTCTGTCGCTGTCAATGCTAACCAGAGCTCATAGGGCAATGAGGTGGGGGTGGGGAAGATGGTTCCACCATTGGTGTTTCCGTTAGAGCCACGTTTATTTCTGGAATAGTTGTGGGAGGGAGAGATGTGCTCCAAAGAGAAGAGGACTCAGTGTGGTTCAGGTATGATCGACCATCTGGACAACCCCATTCGGATACTTTAAAATGTATGGGATAGAGCTGGGCGGGGTACTTTCCACACATTGAGCTAAAAATCACTTGGATTCTGGGAGAGGAGATAGAATGAAAACCAGAAACAAAAGATCGGTTGTGAAACCTAGTACCGAAGTAAGATGTTCGAATACATTTTCTCCTTTAAAAAAAATTCTGGGGAGTTTGAATGTTTTGCTAACCCAGTTATTTTTAGCCAGTCCTTATAGAAAATAGAGGCGCTGGAAAACTAGCAACTCCAGAAAATGTTAATTTCTTTTTGCACGAGTTAAAATTAACTAACATTAGCATATTCAGTGATGCAATAGGCAATGAAAGACCTTGAAGAGATATGAAGAAGAAAAGTAAATATTATGTATTCAAAATCAGTCTCATAGCGTTTTATAAAAATGTTGGCTTATGTCCAGGATCTAAGGGTGGGGGTGGGTATGGTTTTTTTGTGGCTGAAGAAGGAATGGAAAATAATCTGCTCTGTTTCCTTAAAAATAAAAGACTTCTTGTTTTATACAGCGTGGTAAATGCTTTTCTGTTTTTTACCTGCCGGCAGGAAATGGAGGAAATTTTTCTAGCAAGCAATGCTGTTTTCCTCTCTTTGGGGACATGGTGACACTGGTTCTGTAGCAAAACAGTATTTGCTTATTAGGCGTTACTTCAAAATCCTGAATAAGCAGTTCTTTCCACATTTTTTTGTTCCACATGTTAAACATTTCATTGCAATTTGAGCTTCAATTGTGTGTGTGTGTGTGTCTGTGTGCGCGTGCGTGCGTGTGTGCGTTGATAGAAAAGATTGAAAGGGGATGCATAAGAATTCTTAAAGGTTTTTGTTTTAAAAAATTAATTCCTACATTATGTGTTGGAATCTCTACAGAAGGCGATTCCAATTTATTACATACAGCCAAACTAGATCCCATCAATCTTGTGCAGCGAGGGTAGAGAGGTGGTATTGAAGAAGACATGAAATTTGGTGTTCGAGTAGATGAGATTTAATTTTCAGAAAACATTTCACTCATAAAACGGATAGCACCCCAGTGTCAGCCCTGACCTCCATGATGTCAATGTCGTCGTGCAAGCGTAGCTAAGATAAGCCTCAAAGTGAAACAAAGAAACGTTGCATCTCAGCACAACACCATTTCTTCTCTTACAGTATGTACTCTCCCTCTCTATAACTATAGCCTTTTGGATTTCTGTTAATGGCTTGTTACTTTACAATTTAGCTTTTGCAGGGGGAGGGAGGAGAAATATAATTTTGCATATCCTATGTTTTGAGCAAGTACAGTAGGCTGCTGCAAGTCAACATTATTTAGGTCAGTATCCTGGTTAGCTTTTATCGTCCGTGCTGGTCAGCTATGTATCCAAACGAACTCAGCATCAATTTATTTTTCTGTCCTGATTGTATTCTGCTTCTAAGTTTAAGCAAATTTATTCACATTAGAATACCATTCCAGCTGAGGAGGTATCTGCCGTTCTGTACTGCAGATACATTTAGCAGGATACATTTACACGCTTGTGGTTAGAGGTTATAGCACTGATACAGACAGCTGATCATGCATTCTTCTACAAGCCTGCCGGCACCAATTAGGATTTTTAAAAATAATCTAGAAATGCTACACCTTTTATAATATTATTTTTGACTTTGCTATAGCTTAACAGTTTTGGTTTCTTGTTGTTATTATTAGCAGTTCTATGAAATTAACAGTCTATAAAATGCATCCCAAACCAGATACATACTGTATTGAAAGCTTTCTTCAAGAAGATGACATGACAGTATCCGTTCCAGCTGATTTTCTTCCTTAGCAAAAGGATTATTTGATTCTCAGAAGCAGAAGGACACAGTCATTGTGCAGCAGCTCTGCTTAAATGTATGAAATGCCTTCTACTGTCTGGTTGCAGAATTTGGAGTTGGCTAAATAGTGTTTAGTGATTGGGCTCATCTTGCATCACCAGTTGATGACATTTTTCTTTGTTCCCTCCTCCCCAGTTGAACCAGGACTCTGAGGCTGATATGCAATGTCACTTCCAACATTAATCAGATACTGCATTTAAGGTGAGCCGTTCCTTGCCTCCTCCTTCCCCAGTGCTCGTGTGCTGCATGCATTGCGTATCTTGCTCCTGCGAGCCTAAGATGGCAGGCAGGATTAGCTGTGCTGGTGCTGTGTGCATGCTGTGTATAGAATTCATTACACGTTGCCTAGTATTTCAGATGTGAGTATGTAAATGCTCTGTATGCCATATCATCTGGTAGTGAAGACTTGTTTTTGCCTCATTTCAGCCTTAGATATTTCAACATCACCTTTCAGTTCCGATTCATTTGCTTCTGGATGTTTGCTTTTCATCACATTCAAAATAGGATTTTACCTTTTTTTTTTTTTAAACAAAGCCAAAAAAAAAAGCCCTAAAAAACAAAACAACAACAAAACTCTGCTACCAGATGGTGTCTCCCCTTTCTTCTTGCATTTGCTGTCTTTTAAATAATGTATGTTGTATTGTTAATTAATGTGACTATCAAATTAAACACTTGAAACTTCCGTGTTTATTATGCAGGTAGGAGGTAAGGTGGGACCTATTTTTAACTCTTATGCACGCCATGGTGTGCAAACAACTTGGTTCTCAAATTTGTATTTTCAATGCTGGTATCAGTGGTTTGATTTTCAGCAAATGTGACAGTGGCCTTTGCAGTGGTCAGCTTCGGGCTTTGAACTCTCAGAGGAGGAAGGGGAAAACATTCAACACACCACCTCCTTGGTTGCAGCCTCAGAGAAACCTTGGATGAGAACCTTCCTTTTTTCAATCCTGTTTTCCTGTTGATAAATTCAGTTCTCGTGATCACAGTGCATCCAAGCTGTTCTGCGTATGATTTTTGTGTGTGTGACAATTGCATCTAAAACTTGTGAGCAAGAAGACGGAGAAATCGGTCTCCATCGCTTCACATAAAAATGGCTGAGTGTTTTGTCATGCTAGCATTGCACTAAGTGATACATACAGGTAGGTTGAAATTTGCATGTTTTATAGAATTTGAGCCATGCAGCAAGAATATTATGGATTAAAATATGACTTTTAAAACAAAAATTAAATAAGACAGTTGTAATTTTTTTTGGGGGGGGTATTAAATTGGATAGCCTTTTCTAGTCAGATAGTATAGAAATATATAGCTTTTATAAACTTATAAAATGATTCTGCAATAAGATGATTTCTTTTTTAAAAACCATATGTATAGTAGGTGTGGCGCCGTTAGACAACAAAAGAATTTTTTGGAAAAGTCTGTTGATTCAGCTCCATTTTAGCTTGAAACTAAAAATAAATGGGTTTCTGCAGATAATTTCAAAGAGCGCAAACAAGCTTAATATGAAACATTTAAAATATTTAAATTTTAAGAAGCGGTCTTTAAACGTGTTATATGAAAGATGAAAATAACATGTACTTAAAAATTAATTTTAGATAATATGCAAGAATAAATACACTTTTATATACCTATTACTAGGGAGAGGAAGAGTTACAATTTTAAAGGGGGAAATATTAAATGTAAATGGTCCTGTTAGAAGAAAAAGAGCTTCATGAATGAAACAGTGTCTAGGATGGCTCATTGCAGACCATACAGCTGTGGTTCTGCAAGTACCAAATTCTGGCACTATTCAAAATAATTTCATGGGCTCTTTCCTTTGAGGTTAACTTCTCAAATATATTTTAGTTTTTCAAATTAACACTGGGCCAGAACCTGTTTCCTTGGTAACCAAATCTTATTTTTAAATGCAATAACAGATATGCAAAAGATTGTCTTAAAAAAAGAAACAAATGTTTAATGAAAAATTTATAGTTCTTTTTCCTCTGATATAGAGTCTGAACTGGTTTTAGACATTTTTAAAATGCGGTCTTCAAGCCTTAAAAACAAGACATATTTCTGCACATATAGAGAAAGCTTGCACAGTGAGAGCTTTTTTCCTCCCTCCTTTGTGCTCAGTACTTTCAAAATTAAGGTTTCCTTTGAAATGTGCTCTAGAATGCTGGTCAAGGTTTGTGTACAAAGGTGTAGTTTCATTATCACGAGTTCACCAGCGCCACCGAAACAAAAGGCATCTCAGAAATTCTGAGAATCAGAAAATGCTTAGGCTCTTGTTTTCCTTGATCCCTCCATTGGTAACCTCGGAGCTCTCGATAGAGAAAGACCCAAAGCCAAGCCCACCCCAATGATAAGTGCACATTGAGCCTTTGTGGAAACGTCCTTGTAGATGTGTTCGGGGAAAGATGCTGTAAACCCCAAACCTCCCTGAGGTTTGCTCCGATGTGAAGAACCTTGAGATTCAGAACCATTTGTGCAAATAGTTGCTGTATTTTAGCAGCTTGTCATATTCAAAAGCACTGTCTGTAAAATCTAACCTCTTACGGGCTAAAGGTTTGTTGTTGCTGTTGTTGTGTTGTTTAGAGGCCAACTTAAATATTTTGCTTAGAGTCTTTGTCTGGCTCAGTTATATGAGATCATGATTCATCTCCCAGTGATTTCGTTCTTTGGGCTGCCATGAAAATATCCTTCCTGCAACACCTCAACACCGCCCCCCCCCTTTTTTTTTTGGTTGTTCGGGAGCCATTTTCCTTCTTGCCTGTGACTTAAATGACTAAGTTCATTTTTAATATAGCATCAATCAGAAGATCATAAACTGAAGGGAAATGTCAGAAACCTGATTCAGTATTTCCTACTTATTTTAATATGAGTAGCATTAACAGTTGCAGTAGGAGCAAGCTAACTGTCATTTGCTCTTGAGCAAATAATGAGCCAGGCATTTGTAATTAATGTACTATTGCTACCCAGAAAGATACAACTACAATGCCTTCTGTTTTGATAGGCTGGTACAGATTAATAATTTTCAGTCTTAATCACAAGATTAGATGGATGCAATGGAATTGTTTTACCATAAAAATCAATGCCTGATAGATTCAACAGTGTATTTCTTCTTTATCAAATGTCAATCGTTTTCTTTTTAACTCCAGCATGATTGCATCTTCTTGGAGACTTTCATCCCTAATAATTTTTTTGAGGCATTATTCATTTATGTTGCTCTTGGTCTTGCCTAGAAGAATTTTAAACACAATTCAAGGAGCTTGAAGTATATTGTACTGTTGTCATTCTAATAAATAGAGTAGTGAATGGAAGACTGATTATTATTTATTACATTGTTGTGTTTCGCCTTAATGTCTTGCCTCCATATTTCACAGAAATCTTTTCAAGGCACAATACTTTTCTAAACTTACCCATTTACAATTATTATTAAATTTGCTAGATTAATAAAAAAACACTGCCTGCCAATTATTAAGGATGGTACTTAGTCATTCTCATTGTTCAGAAGGCTATGCTTAACTAATTTACAATTTTTGGCTAAGGTGTTTATACCGGGCAGGCCAGAGCAGGTGCAACATGAAGAATGTGCAAACAACTGCTTTGTTCTCACCAAAATGAAATGGGAAAATCTGTGGTTTTCTGCCTGAATGATTTATAATATAAAATTCTCAACTCCTTTTTTTCTTTGGAAAATAGGAAATGTTTTTCCAAACCTTAACTTGGGCTTTTTTTTTCCTTTTTACCCTGTCTCTAGTAATGATCTGTTTAGTCATGTAAATGGGAAATATTACATTTAGTCATCCAAAATATATTCATCCAGGTTGATATTTATTGTGTTATATCTTCTAATTAAAAGGGATTTCATCTCACCTAGCCAGCATGGCTCAGTGGTTGGGCGTCATCCTATGAACCAGGAGGTCACAATTCAATTCCTGGTCAGGGCATATGCCCGGATTGTGGACTCAATCTCCAGTGTGGGGCATGCAGGAGGCAGCCGATCAATGATTCTCTCTCATCATTGATGCTTCTCTCTCTCTCTCCCTCTCCCTTCCTCTCTGAAATCAATAAAAATATATTTTTCAAAAAAAGAGATTTCATCTCTTCCTACTAGAATGATGTTGATCTACCTCAACCATTACTATGGCTTCCTCATAGACAGATGGTAGCCAGGCCATGTTTTAGAGCTGGTTGATATAGGGAGAAGAATCTGGACAAAGATCTAGCACCTTTCTCTTTAGTACTAAATCATGCTAAGCCTTTGAGTTCCTGGTTGACACATTTATTGAGCACCTGCTATATATGCCAGGCATATTTTAGAGGCTGGAAATACAGTAATGAAGAAGAGATACCAGGGCCTGCTTCTCAATGACCTGCCTCTAGTGTGATAGAGGAAAATAAATATGTAAACAATTAATTAAAGAATACAAGTGCAAAGACAAAAAATTAAATTAAATTTAAAAAAGCAATGTGACCCCCAGCAGATATGACTCAGTGGTTGAGTGTCAACCCATGCACCAAGATGTCACTGGTTCGATTACCAGTCAGGGCACTTGCCCGGGTTTTGGGCTCAATCCCCAGAAGGGGGCATGCTGGAGGCAGCTGATTGAGGTTTCTCTCTCATCAATGTTTTGATCTCTCTATTCCTCTCCCTTCCTCTATCTCTTAAAAAATAAATAAGAAACATTTAAAAAATAAAAAGCAATATGACATGTTGGGAGGAAGAGAGACACTTTAGAATGGTGAGCCAGGGAAAGCCTTCGTAAAGAGATGGCATTTAAGTGGAGACCTACATGGTAGGATAGACTCAGCCAGGAGAGAGCATTACCAGCCAGAGGGGTGTTCATGCACAAACTGCAAACTTTCCTTTCCTAGTGTAACTACCATGATATCAGAGCCAGGTTTGACGACTTTGTGGACTGAGCCTTATTCAGGTAAGCTTCCCCTGCAGTGAGAAGGTAGGTCAGGCCCTCCTGGCTGGTTTTAGTCA